CCGGAATAAATAGGCACTTACGAACCGGATGATCGAGGGACTGTGGATCATTTAATTTAATTACTTCGCGAGGGTTAATAGAAGAGATAAAGGTGGCTGCACTCGCGCTGGATATTATACACCGTGGCCGAGTGTCGCTGTCTACAGAACCCTACAAAAATAAATCCTGCCTTTTTGACAAATGCGGGGAGCATTTTGATCCCCATCCTCCTCGCTCCTCCCCTCTCGCCATCGTTTAAAAACTTTCACGTTACTTCACTCCGAATAAGGCGTCGGAGCGATGCGATGGAGATATGAGAACAGCTTCTACCCCACGTATATTTGAATTCTTATTAAAACGAGACTCTTGCGAGCTGGATAATGCATCAGTGTATTTTAGACATTGTTTCTCGCGTTTAACCGGCGAGCAGCCGGTTTTATCTTGTAACAATAATTTTTCAGAAAAATTTAGATATAATTAAAAAAAAAAAAAAATTATTACGAAATGTATATTATTAATAAAATAAAGCAAAAAAAATATTATATGTACAAAAGATGTATTTCGGGTAAGAATAATAGAAATGTGCCAGCATTATAGTGTCGGCCAAGCTGACCCTTGTTTCAGGAGTCAGAGCGGCGATTTAATTTCATAAACCACAACTGTTGCCTCTATTTAGTTCGAAAGGGAGCGCGACTAATAGTTATGATCCCGACGTCAGATTCTTAATCGAGTTCTTCCCCTCTGGCTGAAATTGAAGTCTGCAGTCGACTTTCGACAAAGTCCCGACACGAATCATCCGCGTTTATCCATCACACGATATAATACATTTCACATTGTTTATAGAATTATAAGAGGGAAGTGAAAGAACGCTAAGCACTCCCGGGTTAACGAGCCACTCCTCTGGCCGCACCAATTCTCCAGCTGTTCCCGCGCGACACCGGTAGCTTCGAGAATCCGCTGAATTAATTTAGACATCACCTTTAATCCGAAACCCGATCCTTCCACCGCTCGTACTGCCCGCGGAGAATCTCAGTCTTCTCTTTTCGATAATTTCGACGAACGGTCGCACTGAACGACATCCGGATGATACATCGGAAGGGCGAGCGGGGGCGAAAGAGGCAGGAATCAGTTTAACAGGAGAGGAAGAGCGGGGAGAGGAAGGGAAGTTTGGTGCCGCGCGGATGTCTCCAGCATTGTATGCAGATGAAGAAGGCAGGGCGACAATGACTCGAGACGTTGTCGTGGACGTTGTCGGGCCCGTTCGTCTTGAAATCGAAAGAAACCCATCCGCCAAGAAAGGGGAGTCGCAGGGCTCGGCGGGAGGAAGACTGCCCGCTTTGCCTCGTGCTTGGCACTCAACGTGCCCTCCTCTGGCACCTCCTTCCAGACACGCTTATGTACTACGCATCCATATATTAACATGTCATCGTATAAAAACCGAGCTGATCGAAGCTGAACCTTTCCCGCTCCTCCTCCTCCCCTCCCTCCTGTCCAAGTTACTCGTCCAAGGCTTGCAAGCCGATGCCGTCGTCATTAGACGCGGGGAGACGTGACGCCCCCTGTGAAGACTTCGTCTCTCGAAAGTCTTTTCTCGTGGCGAATTCAGCCGGCCTCCTCTTCCTCGTGGGCGTTTCGTTTGCTCGCGCTGGATATCGCGGGCGATTCGTCACGGAAATTCGTGCCGGACCGTTTTATAGACGGAATAATTACTTCAAAGCCCGGCCTGCTCGCGTCGGCGTTATCATCTTTTTTCTTGCGACGGTCGGTCGATTTGTCTGCAGCGAGCGCATCCTAAATCTTTGCAGACGCGATCTTACAATTAGCGTCAGAGTACGGAATTATGTGTCTCCATCCGCGATAATTACTATGATTGAATTCATGCTGCAGATATATGGATAATCTGCTTTTCTCAAACGATAGTTGAAACGATAGTTGAAACGACGGGATCGCCAGTCACCAAACGATGTAAAAATACGCGCAGTTACGCGTGATTCGAATCGCGAACGCGACCTTTTCACACGTAACACAAATAGAAGACAGAGCGACAGACGAAACGAAAAGCCACTGTCGTGCCGTTTTGAACGAGACGAAGCGGACAGCGGATTCAAACCTTGGAAAATCGTTTACGAGAGAATTTCGGAATCGCGAAGGGAGTTCGGACCATTCGAGCCGGTCGATATGACTCCGGGGTTGTTTGGCAGATACACGTACACACAGGTACGGACCCTCCTTCCTCGGCAACCCCCTCGTCACAGCTCTCGTAACGGAAAAGAGGTATATAAATGGAGCGTTGGTGGTAGTGATGGTAGTGATGGTGCTGGTGGTGGTGGTGATGGTGGTGGTGGTGGTGGTGGTGGTGGTGGCGATGGTGGTGGTGGCGGCGGCGGCGGCGGTGGTGGTGCAGGAAGGGCCGGATTGGTAAGCCGGTCACGTAATGCACGGCGATGAATGGACCCGCCGAGTCGAGCCCAAAGCCGGGAATTGGCTACTGGGTATACCACCGACCACCACCCCACAGCAACGTAAAATTACAAAGAGGTGCTCAAACCTGAGATATCTCGCGTATCTGCCGTCACACTAATGGAGACAACGGGCTGCCGTGAGAATTTCCAGCGCAACGCGCTGTCTTATTGAGAAAAAAAAACAATATAATTCGACGTAATCGATCTAAATTGTAAAATTCTACGAAATTCAATGAGGAACGAAATAATTCAGCTACATTCCATAATACAAGCTGTAAAAGCCTGTAAACTTGTCTTTACAGGAATTTAAAATGGAATTTTAATTTCAGAATTATTATTGTCATTTGGCCAATTTTTTTTGAAAAGCGCAATTATAATTAGTGATCAAATAATCGGTATTTAAGAGAAACAGGATTTGGACTGGATTAATATTTGAGCTACGATCTAAATTGAACCAAGCATTGTGCATACTAGAACTACCTGCCTCACTGCATCAACTTTAGTCATTTCCTGTTAAATACGAAATTACATAGTGGTGCTCATATAGCTTGCCCATTTCACGGATTTTACATAAATGTTTTTTACTTATGCATAATAGAGATATGCAGTTAAATATTCGCATAGTTTTAGTGATTCGGAAACTTGAGCATATGAAATTATAATAATTATTTTATCCGCTGTCAAATTGATCCGCGCAGTAGCGAGATGCGATAAACGAGCAACGTATCACGTAAAATCGTGCAAAGTCAGGAATTTTTAATGTTAAATGTACTGCGATTACGAATTCGACTACGTCAGCTTTAGTCAGCTCGCTTAAAACCATAAAAAAGGTGCTCAAATCGGATAACCCTTGCTGCGCATAATACATTACATCTTATCACTACAATAATATTGTATTTCACATGCAACCGATAAATTTTAATTGTTCGTACAAAAGACTGCTCTTACATTGAAACAGTTTTACTGTTAAATAATAAAAAATTTCAACAGTACTCACACAGACTGCCTAGGACTGCCGATCCATGAATGACGACACAAATCGAGGCTTGAAAAGGTCGCAGCACGACGTCATTCATAATTAGGATTCCTTTTGCGAAATTCTCCCGGGCCTGGCTCCTCGTTGTCATACCGTAGAGGTCATTCTCCCATCTCGGACATGCTGGCGGTACCCCTTACGCGCGCACTCCTGGACCCCCCTTATGCAATCTAAAGCAAGCCTCTGATCTGCCATAAAGTCATTTCATAACCCATCCCGAGGGTTAAGTACCCCTCGAGTCCCAAATCCCGAGTTAAGCACAAACCCACCGAGGGCATGAAACTTTCACGACATGATCTTCTGGCCTCTCTTTCCTTCCTCCTGGTACTCATCTTTCGCTTTTCTCGTTCTTATCTTTTCGACAATTAAAACTGCAGAAATGATATTCGCACGAAAAGTTGTGCGAGACACGGCGCGGTCGAATATTTCGGCGACTTGCGGCGAGCAGCAATATTCTAATAAGCTCTTTTCAGTTATTATCTTGAAATAAGTACGTACATTTCTGTATTGCTCAAACACGTCACAAAATTTAAATTCTCGTGCAGATAATATAAGTTGTGAAAGTTGTATTAGGGACTAGTTTTTAATAGCAACTTTGAGTCGTATGTTTTCGTTATGATAAGCGATACAATAATAAAATATTAATTCTTCAAATATACATATATTTTCCATCTGCATGTAATGACGCATTAACTTTACATGTCGAGTGTATAAATAGTGCAGTTGAGATTTTGATTTACGATTAATCTTAAAGCTGACGTCCAGCACTATTACATGAACTTGAAGAAGTTAAATAAGACCGTGCATAAATTATAGGCTGCCTCGCAACGCGTTTGCGCGACGCAACGAGTTCCCGGCAGCTCGAGGTAGCGAAGAAAAAACGCGGTGACACTTGCGTCGGAATTAAAAAGTAAAGGCTCGTTATAAATCAAACGCTTGTCAGCGGGTGTGGCGGCTGGTCTTTACGCTGGAAAATGGGGGGAGGGGGGAGGGAGGGATGATGGTGGCCGTGGAGGCGAAAACCCTTTTGTTAATTGCTCATCGCAGATGCCGGGCCGTTGCAGGCGCTCTTTACGAGCCGCTCTTTCCCTCGGTGCACGGCGAAGGAAAAAAAGCTAAGCTTCTTTGTCCCGGGGAGAGAAGTTCCGAACGCGTCGTAAGTTCCGAAAGTGCCTTTAAAAGCTATTACGACCTGTGCGTCGCAATTGTAACACGATTCGTTTGCCGTGCGGAAAAAAAAGAGAAGTCAGATGCGTTCGACAAACTTCGCTAGGACGTTGCCAAATTCCAAGTGACTTTGGAAGATTGTGTTTAAATGCGAATGAGACTCTCCGTAGCAGCGAAACATATTTCTCGCATGTATCGTAGATCCCGCTTATCTCGATTAATGTCCAAGATCTAGCCAGATTTGATCCGTCCGATAATCAGCGTGCCTTTCAATCGTTCAAACTTATCTTCGGAGTATTTTGAAACACTTGGGAGACGGAGTGGTTTCTGCGAAGAAAGCGAGGCGGCAAAAATATACATAAAATAATGTATTTATTATAATACCCCACGTCGCTACAGCGATTAACATTGATTTAACACAATTTATACCGTAATTCTATGTAATTATGTATTTCCACACTGACATGATGCCTGGCTGCGACTGGATTCTGGAACGATTGCTTGCAGGAGGACGATGCGAGACAACTCTGTAAGCTAAAACACAAAGGTAAATCTTCTTATTGGGGCTCCTCGGACGGTTCGATGCGCTCGATTATTTTTGCAACCAATCGCGCGTAGCGCATCAATTCGAGAATCTATAATATTTGTGCGTCGCTAACGCTTCAACTCATTACTCTGTCCCAGGACAGAACACGCGCGGAAGGACACGCGAATAAAAGTGCGCGAGATCGAGTAGTTACGGGGCTCGGGATGTCGTCTTCGGGGGGCCCGCCAAGCGAGCCGAAGGATATCTAAAGCGAGATCTCTTCTTCGCGGAGGAGGTTGGCTGGCGTCCGAGAAGAGAGGAGGTGGAGGAACCCTGGAGAAATGTTATTAATTGGCTACACGATAAAACAGTGTTAGTTCCCATTCGCTGTCCTTCGGCCGGACCCCCCCTGGCTTCCTCTTAAAATATGGGGCCACGCGACTTCCTCGCGCGCGCGTATACGTGCATGCGTGTATCGCGAAGCTGGAGGTCCCCGTGAGAATTACGAGGAAAGAGGTATCTCCTGAGGGTGCCGAATGCGAACAACTCGTTTCCGGCGAAATTCCCCACGCCGCGAGAAACACGAGACGATCTTTTTACTTCTTTCGAGAAAAATATTGATCCTGCGAATTGATTTGCATACTACAATCTGTACAAATTTATACAAATTTCTAAACTTGATTGGATATCAACGAATCTTAATCGTAAAATTTATCTCTCATCGAAGCTATGAAGGTCTTTGCTAGAAAAAAGTATTTTGCATAAATATCATTGCAAAATAGTGGAAAATTTTAACTCGCGGAAAAAGCAAGTGTGAAATATTCCTAGCGAATAAAAATGAACTTTTTATTAATACTATTTAAATCATTATAACTGGTCGTTATATTCGAATCATATTGCGCACAACGAGATCGCTGTAAAGTAGTAGGTAGCATCGACGAATCATTATGACAATTATCAGGCGGAAACTGGTGCGTATCGCAATTTATACGCGCACATATTTGTAATTAATGTTACATACGTATAATTAAGAGCGGTTGGCACGAGTCGTTTTAAACATAAAAAATACCAATCTAATTTAGATGCGATGCGACGATAAGAGTTTCGCGCTACTTCGAGATAGACGACGGCAGGAGAACAAGGATTATACAACCAAGGATAAAGAGTTTACCGTTCTTTTTTTATCGCTCGTTTCCCAGTTTTCATTCCTTCATCAAAACATCAATGCTCGCTTAAGGCTGGAGCAAACTTTTATCCGTGTTCTATTTATTTTCAGTCTTTATATTATATTGTATGGTAAAGAAAAAGCAATAAAGTTAGATTTAAATCTTCTAATTTTTATACCAAATTTTTATCAATATCTGACGTTAATTGAAGTCGCGTGACGTTACGGAATTAATTAACTCCACAATCCTTACACAGTAATTAATTTCATATTTTTTTCACGTGTCGCAATATACAGTGTTATAAATTTTACGTTGACGTTAACGTACATCATATTATTTTTAAGCAGCAACTTGAATATGTAAAGAAGAATTTGCCATTAAGAGAAAAGTGAGAAAGTGTTCTGTAAATATGTAGTCTTATTAAGCTGCTTATTACACGCTATCGACGCGTACCTCGCAGATTGCGTGCGCGCGTTTTGCATTTTCCGACCATCTTCCGCATCTCATCTATCAAAGCTATTCCTTTTATTAATGTGCCATTAATTAAGGGTCGTGTCGAAAGCGAACGATGCGAGACGCGCCAGGATACTGGCGATACGAGTGGCGATGTGCACGGTCTAGTTCAATTTTAACGTGGAAAATGGAAGGATATTGCGCGGAGGCACCAGGGGAATATCTTCAGAGATCCGCCGTTCTCTTATCTGCTGTATCTTCCCGCCCCTTACAGTCTCTTTTTCTCTATCTGTCGTCCCTATTGATTTTTTTCTCATTTCCTGCTTATAACGCCGGTCTTTTTCTCTCGTCTTCTTCTTCTCTTCTTCTCTCTCTCTTTTCATTTCTTTTCGCGGCATCATTCTATCCCGCTCTTTCTTTTATACCAATAGTTTCTTCGCCGCGCTCGTTACACACGTATACCCGGTGTCGATGGGGTACACATATCGCATGCGTTTCGTATCCCTATCGCTTTTCCTCCTTTCCTCTTCTATTTTGCTATTTCTCTCTCTCTCTCTCTCTCTCTCTCTCTCTCTCTCTCTCTCTTTTTTTCTCTTTCTCTCGCTATCTCCTTCACTTTTTTCTTTTTGCTGTATCGGCATGCATGCATCCGTCCGTCGTTGTTGTTACTGTTGTTGTCCCTTTTGCGGATGAGGGAGTGAGAGCATGAGAGCTATAGGCCATAAGGGCTAACAAGGCGATTACTCATGCCTCCCATAAGAAGAAGTTACAAGCGGCTTTGAAAGTTTATTGCGGCAAATGGCGAAATTTGTACCTTGCTAACGATTGGTTCTCTTTTGTTCTCTTTTGTTTCATCTCCCCTCTTTTTGTCCTACTTTTTGGGCCGTCGGTGCGCATCCCCGATACGTATTTTGCGATTTAGCGCTCGATGCATATAATTGTGCATGAAGCATTGAAAACGCGTGACAACCTATCGATCGCGGAAATCAAGCCGTATTTTATCAACATCACCGAAATGCAAATTATCAAGTATTCATAAAGCGTATATCAATCAGGTATCGCGACGTTTCTGAATTTAATAATTTTTAAACGCTCAAGAAGAATACAATAAGAAAAAATATATAAGATTTGCTCCCTTTTCATTTTTTATAGTAGCATCCAAAAATTTTAGTTTACAATCGCAGTATATATAACTTGTAACATCCTGTCACTTTTTATTTTTCGTTTTTTTTTTCTTTCCAAATCGAAAACTTGGACAAGCTTAGCTGAAGGAATCAAGTCAGTAAGAGAGAGAGAGAGAGAGAGAGAGAGAGAGAGAGAGAGAGAGAGAGAGAGAGAGAGAGAGAGAGAGAGAGA